CATGGTTCTCTGAAAGTGGAGTCACAGGTAGACAGGGCAGTGAAGAAGGCTTTTGGCACACTGGCCTTTTACAGTCATGATGTATAGAAGTTAGGAAGTTATGTTGCAGTTGTACACAGCGTTGGTGAGGCTGCACTTGGAGTATTGTGTTCAGTTTTGGTCACCTTGCTATAGGGAACATGTTATTAAATTGGAGAGAGTGCAGAAGAAATTTACAAGGATGTTGCCAGGACTCAAGGGACTGAGTTATAGGAAGAGGTTGGACAAGCTAGGACTTTTCTCTTTCGAGCGTAGGAGACTGAGCGGGGATCTTACTTAAGTGTATAAGATCATGAGAGGCGTGGATAGGGTGAATGCACTCAGTCTTTTTCCCAGGGTTGGGGAATCGAGAACCTAGAGGGCATCAATTTAAGGTAAGAGGGGAAAGGATAAAAGGGAACCTGAGGAGCAACTTTTTTACACAAGAGGGTGGTATACATTTGAAATGAGCTGCCAGCAGAAGTGGTTGAGGCGGGTACATTAGTAACATTTAAAGGGCATTTGGATAAATACATGGATAAGAAAGGTTTAGAAGGATACGGGCCAAGTGCAGGGAAATGGGGTTAGCATGGATGGACATTTTGGTCAACATGGACTGATTTGGGCCGAACGGCCTGTCTCCGTGCTGTAGGACTCTATGACTCTATGATGTGTAAAATGCAACCCTTAAGGTTTCTGTGAAAATTCCACCCACATTAATTTTCAAAGTGGAAGAAAAAGCTTAATTGTAAAACATGAATCATGATTATTCACATCAATTTGGAGGGAAAGTCCCATGTGATTACCTCACTGCCTCATTTGAATATGTCCCATCTGAAAGAGATGGTGAAACACCCTGAGATAATTGTGAAATCCAAGAATGTTCAAGGGGCGAGATAAGACATGACATTTAAAAACAGAGAGAGGAGTAAACTTGTGCACATGGAGGGGTAATGTCAGAACCTACATAGATATGACCCTCATAACTGACATGGATGACTAACCAGACTTTTTGAAAAAAATGATCAGTTGTTGATATTGCAAATGTTTCACAAAGACATTGAAATTACTGATGTAATTGGCCAACATTATGACCAATGAATTACTGATGTAAAATGAGCTCCAAAAGCTGTGGGGAAATAAGTCTACAGTGAATGAACCTAAATTAGTAGACCTTACAGAGGCATGAGAAGTAGCAGCATATACTAAATCCATAAGCAATTGAAACAATGGGGAGCAGATTAATAAAAAACTAAAACTCAATAGTGGTTTATCCTTGAGCATGGCTAACTAGGTAGGCCTCTAGCCTCAATGTAGGAAGGAGGATTCCTGGAGGAAATGCACAGTGGCTCAGTGGTTAGCACTGCTGCCTTACAGCACCAGGGTCCTGGGTTTGATTCCACCCTTGGGTGACTATCTGTGTGGAGTTTGCATATTCTCCCTGTGTCTGTATGGGTTTCCTCCCACAGTCCAAAGATGTGCAGGCTAGGTGGATTGGCCATACTAAATTTGCCTCTCATGTTCAGGGATGAGTGGGTTATAAGGGGATGTGTCTGGGTGGGATGCTCTGAGGTTGGTGTGGACTTGTTGGGCCAAAGGGCCTGTTTCCATGCTATAGGGATTCTATGAATCAGTCTTCATGTTTCATTTGCAACCTCTGTTTCAGTGATTTAAAGAGGCTGCTTTCAAATTTTTGCTTGCACTTTAGGCCCATACTCCTCATCTGTGTAGAGTGGGGCATACAGATCGAAGGACTTCCTTGTGAGCCAGACCAAGGTGGTCATTTAACAGGCCCAGGCAGTAGGCTGTGAAGGAAGTCCTAGCACCCAACAGTCTGCCCATTTTTCAGAGTTACATCCATGCTCGGGTGTCCATGGAGAAGGAGCATGCAGAGTCCATCAGTTCAGTACAGGCCTTCAGTGAGAGGTGGCCACCACAGTGGGCTGAGATGTATCATCACCTTCGGCAGCATCTTTTTAATTTTAATTTTGATTTTTGTTTGTGTTATGTGCCCATCAGGTACTGCTTCCGACAGTTTTCTTTTCAAAAGAATAGAACAGAGCATTGCTGGAAGTTACCCCTCCACAACCAGCTTTTGGTACTGCAATTTCTTGACAGGATCCACTGAGAAGACACAAAATGTATTTTCTTATCCCTGTCATGACATTACCATTTAGTTTCATAAACGATTACTAATAAAACGAAATCCTGTATTGTTAAACCATTTCAATTTAATATCTTCTTGGGACAATTCTGCTCCTTTCTGTACTGGTCATGTCACATCAAGTACAACAGTCTTTATAATGAGTGAGCTGCTTATCAGACTTTTAGCAGAAGGGATGTGGGAACTTCCAGTTGTGTTTTGACGCAGTTACAATTTGAAGGTCCAGCTACTGTAATTAAAATGCAGAGTTCTGGTCATGTGTGTTCCAGAGACTTGAAATTCATCAGCGTTCATAGAACATAGAACATAGAACATTACAGCACAGTACAGGCCCTTCGGCCCTCGATGTTGCGCCGACCTGTGAAATCAATCTGAAGCCTATCTAACTTACACTATTCCATTATCATCCATATGTTTATCCAATGACCATTTAAATGCCCTTAAAGTTGGCGAGTCGACATGTGATAGTCTTGAGGAATTCGAGGAGTGTGCGTTGTAAATATGAGCACGTGCCGTAAGTCTGGCTTGCTACCTGATCTAAAGGGCAAATCCCACAGGTAATGTAGCCATTGATGCTAATGCCAGAATGGGGCGGTGAGATCATACAGATCCTCTCACAGAAAGTGTGAGTTGTTTATCCAGTTATGTGTCAGCATGAAACTAAAATTGTAGAACGGTTACAGCATTAGAGAAAAGCCATTCAGCCTGCTGTGCTAACATGCTGTCACAGTTCATCCCAAGCACCCAACTTTTCCTTATACCTTTACACTTCTTCAGATAAATATCCAATTTCTTTTGAATAAAACATAGTACGGGAAGGCACTTTGTTCCAATAAATGCGAGTAGATTATTCAAGAAAAAGCAAAATACAAAATGTCCATCTTTTAAACTCTGCTGTGAAATGCATGGCACAAGCTGAAGAAAGGTTCAGGATGCATTAAAAGCAGTGTGCAGGAAGAACTGCTTCCATATAGGTGCAGTTAGGGATTTGAGATAACTCCTGCCCTTATTTGAAAAGGCTTTTCCTCCTTTAACTTGTGATTGACTTGGCTCTGAATTTAAGATTACATTTCCTTTTTCCTGGATATCCCCCCCTTCCACCCCCACACCCCCAACCACCCACAAAAGAGTTTGTTTTGTGACAATTCTATCAAATCATTATTTAATTTTCTTTTATTCATTGAGGTGGAACGTGGACATCAATGGCTGGGCCAGCGTTTATTACCCATCTCGAATTCATGGAATTATAGAATCCTACTGCGTGGAAGCAGGCCATTTGGCCCATCAAATCCAAATCAACAGCATCCCACCCAGAACCATCGCCATACCCTATCCCTGTAAAACCTGCATTCCCATGACTAATCCACTCAACCTGCACGTTTGGACTGTGGGATGAAACTGGAGCACACGGACGAAACCCACGCAGACATGGGGAGAATGTGCTAACTCCAGACAGTTGGCCGAGGGTGGAACTGAACCCGGGTACCTGGAACTGTGAGTCACCATGCCACCCCTCAATTGTCCGTGAGAAGTTGGTGATGAACTGCTGCAGTTGTAGGTACACACGCACACTGTCGTTAGAGAGGGAGTTCAAGGATTTGGACCCAGCAACAGTAAAGGAACAGCATTGTATTTCCAAGTCAGAATGATGAGTGATTTGGAAGGAAATTTGCAATAATGGTGGTAGCTTTCCCAGGTATCTGCTGCCCTTATCCTTCTTGATGGCAAAGGTCACAGGTTTGAAATGAACTGTGTTGAACTGCTTGCAGGGCATCTTGTGGGTGGGACACACTGTTGCCAGTGGTGGAATGACTGTTGAAGATGGTGGATAGGTCACCAATCGAGTGGGCAGCTTTACTCTGGTTGGAGCCCAACACCTTGAACAGATTACCTCTTAATCCTGTATCGCTAAGGAAATAGGAGGCGTTTTTGGCCACCACTTGGTGACTTCATGTGCAATTTTTACCAAATCATTCAACAAGTTGAGGTCATAGGCAGGCTGAGTGGTTCCTTGGCCCTTTCTCCCCTAGTATTAGCGCTGCTGGGGAGGGGCAGCAAATTGCTAAATAGGTTTTGGGGAGGGAGTTTTTTTTCCCAGGGGGGGGGGGGGGGGGGCACTGCTGAACCAAACTAGAGTAAGCCTATGGTCACCCTAAACTTCAATCAGCTACCACAGCCTGGGGCTGCTATTGCCCAGCTCTTCATTAATCCCCGCTG